TTAAATATTATAAATTATTTATAATAATTTACTAAAAATTTTAATAATAAACTATTTAAATTTAAATAAATGTTTAATTTAAAAAATTATATATAATATACATATATGTAACTTACATTTGTTAGATGTAAGTTACAGTGTAACTTACCCTGTAACTTACAATGTAACATTTGCCCAACCTTATATACAGTAATAGCTACTGTAGATTACGTATAATAAGTTTATTATCTGTTATACGTACAAATACGTATAATGCATAACAAACTTTTATACTAACTCAAATTTCTATTATACGTATTAATAGTCAACTATATTTTAAAAATAGGTTAACTTTTTAAATTTTTTATATACGTATAACTTCAAATGCATGAATATTATACGTAGACAAACATTTAACAGACATTTCTTTTTATAGACAATCAATTCAAGTTTACAATTACAGTAATTTCATTTTACAGACAATCTTTAACGTTGATTCAGGAGTTATTTGCCGTTAAAGTTTGTCTATAAAAATGAACTGTCTATGAAATGAACTGCTTGTAAATTAATTGTCTTTAAAATAAACTTGTCTATAAAATAAGATGTCCATAAATTGACCGAATATATTAATAATAAAAAGTTATTTTCAATTTATGCGTATTTTGATTTTATAAACAAAGTTCTAAATTATAAATCTTATTTTATATATAGAGTTTCGAATCAAGGCCAACCCATATGGGCCATGATTTCGTCAGTACAAGTTAATTGTTTTTTATAACCTATGAATTTTAAAGTGACGTGTCACTTTTTTTTTTTACCTAATATATATATATATGAGTGTCGCCAAAAGAAAACCCGACAATTTTCTTTTGGCGACACCCATATATAGAACATATAAAAATCTTTTTTTCAAGAGTTATATACACGTATACATCGATTTAATCTTTATCTTTCAAGAAATATATTTTTTTTATATAGTATAATATTCAAAATATTTGTTCATGGTATTAAAATATTTTATTGGATTTTATGTTGCGTACGAACGCATTAGAAAACTGGTTTAGTATAATATTTGTCCTATAAATCTTGCTTTTTACAAACATATTTCATATATACTATTCTAAATGTAACGTGATAATAATATTTTCTAAATAAATAATACTCCTTATTTTAAAATCATGCCACCAACCAAAATTATCCAAATACGGCTATTACGTATATGATACATCTTCTGTCAACAATTAAACATATCTTCCCTAAATAAATAACAAAAATAAAATTACTCGTCATCATCATTGTCATCATCATCATCTCCTTCGTCCTCCTCTATATCAGTAACTTCAGCTCCAAGTTCAACCAATCTTCCTCTATACTTTTTAATACTTGCATCTTGATCTGCAAGACAAGCAAGTAAATCATCATGTTCTTTTTCTAATTTTATACGATCTGATTTTTGAGTTTCTATAGTTTGCTTCAGCGATTGTATTTCTTCTTGCAATGAAGATACTTGTTCTGAAGATGATTTCTGTAATATAGAAATATTTTATTAATAATTTTAGGTAAATTATTCTCAAATATAAATATTGCAATTACCTGAATTTCTAACTGTTCTGCAAGTTGTCTTATCGTTTCTTTTAGCTCAGTAATTTCTTGCTCTTGAGTTTGTATAACAGACTTAAAAGATAGAATCACTGAAGAATCATGATCACCTTGAAAATCGTTTCCTGCTTTGCAAATAATCATACAATTAATATATAGCTAATAATACTAATAAACTTCAAATGCAGACCGTTAAAGCCACACTTACCTCCGGATGCTAATTTAGGATCAGCTATAATAGATCTTTGAATTTTTTCTGAAAGCGATAAACATTTTCACATATATTTAAGTCTATTTAAAAATTTTAATGACCTTAATAAATAAATGAATAATCTATTTTCATACCATAATTATTTTGGAAAAATTCAACAAATGCATATTCAAAATATAATTCTGGTAATCCTCTAGCTTCTTCTTCTGGCGAAACCTATAATAGAATATTTTTTGAACAATGCATATAAGTAAGATTTAATGATCATAATTTAAGAAAGTTTAGGAATTAGACTTTACCAGTATATATTGTGGGACATGCTTAAAATGAGGTGCTTCTCTTAGTCGCGTAATACGATTCACGAATTGATCAGCGCCAATACGATTGAGTAAAATTGGTTGAAGAGTTGTTCTAAATATTTGATATGGTGATTAGTATCAAATTTATCAATAAAAATAACGTATAGAAGTTTTATATAAACATCCCAACCTTGTGACTGGAGAATCCAATGAATGGTTAAACTCATAACAAATACCTAGCAAAAACGCGCATAAGCCTTGTACTCTTGAATCCACACCAGAAGATTGAGTTATAGGCCCAATTAGCTAATAATAATAAATGATGGATTAAGGATTATCTAAGAAGGTATATTGTCATCAATATTGCCAAAATTAATATGATCAAAAAAAAGATACAATTTGCAAATGAGTATCTTTCGATAGAAACTCTTTAACACTTTGTGGACTATCCCACAACCAAATGCAAAGAACGCATAGGTATCCAATCAAGACCCTTACGTCCGCATTTTGTCTTGTTGCCAATATTAAATTTCCTACAATAGAGTGCAGCAAAGGAATATGACCATCTACACTATCTTCACCGATCATAATTCCTCGAGCTAATTCTTTAGGCTTTTCATTGTTCATAAGAATATGGGAAAAAATAACGGACGAGAACCATACTACATATGGATCTGCCTCCGAATCTTCCCATTCCAAAAGAGCTGAGAGTAACAGTGAACCAGCCGACTGAGGTTTAGCTATAAATCGAATAATTTAAAAGCGCGAAGGTTGAATTAATGATCTGCTTTTTTTTTAGTGCTTTCTCAAATTCTAAATTTATAAATATTTATGTATATTTCAACCTGTGTTCATATTCGAATTAGGATTATCATCAGGAGGAGGAGTCAATGTAGATGCCAATGCAGCTTGTGCATTGGGATTATTATATGTATAACACTGGTATTTCGGATAAGCAAAATTTGAGTATTTGCGAATATCGTATTAATAAATAAACATAAAAAATATTTAATTGTTACCTCAAAAGCATATGTAGCTGCAGCCCGAGTTGTATAACTTTCTATATGCTCAGCCCCAACAGCGACGGCAATAATTGCCATAACCGTGGGACGTGGAGGAAGAGTTGGAATTTGCTCGTGTGAAGATCGGTTATGTGAGTCAGGTGTTGAATTCTGTGTGGAATTCGAACGTTGAGGTGAATACGGAACTGTGACAACTGTTCGTGCTAAAAATTCTTGATTGGAACTATTTCCGCGTATAAGATCTGCCAAAGCGTATAGAGACTATTGAATATTGGTTATTGGACTGATTAATGAGCCTGCTAATATGGCTCAGATTTAAGGTTTAAACAAGAATAAATATAAAACATAATTATAACGTACATGGGCTTTTACTGATGAAGGTGCATTCGAAGATAAGGCTAGTTCAACTACCGTTTTCAATACCCCACATTGAGCCATAACATTCTGAAATTGACAGATATTTACAATCGATAATAAAAATATTCTGAAATAATCTTACTATAAATACCTGATTATTTAGAGTATTAATATTATTAGGTACTACTAATATTCGAATCAATTCTAATAAAGCAACAGTATTGGTAACTTTTTGTTCCTGCCATTCTTGAACCAAAAACTCAATTTCATAATTTTTGTGTTTATAATCTAGAGAGGAGCCTAATAATGCCGGTATACGTTGTATGCAACTTGTTTCACGAAAAAAATTCTGTATAAAATTAAGAACTAAGTAATCGTCTATAGTAGCCATTAAATAAAAGACTACACAACATACCTGATTTGAAACATTATACCTTAACAAGTTATGTATTAGTTGCATACAATCTTGAACAATGATTCCACCACTTAAACCATCTTCTTCTGCAATTATTTCTAAAAGCCTCTCAAATGCATTCTCAAATGCAACAATTTTTTGAATATCAGCATTATTCTCGGTAAGGGCAATGAGTAAAAGTAAATTTTCTAAGATTTAAAATTTTAATTTTTTAATTTCATAATTGTAATTATTTTGACAAATATATATATATATATAACTACCATTTCTGATAATTTCTCTTCTATCACCTAACAGATCCATCAAGCGCGAAATACCCATTGGTGCAGTTAATATGCAGTCTTGCACACGGTCTGGTCTAATAGAAAGTAAAGTTCCCAATAACTGAATATTATGAAAACGAACATAAAAATCATATTCTTGCAAAATATCCAAGAGTAAATTTATATTAGCAGAATCCTATTAACATAATAATAACAATAATAATAATTTAATAATAAGAATTTTAATTTATGTCAAGAATTTTTGGTTCATAGAGAATAACAACTTACATGCACGATTTCGTCCGTGAATCTAACGCCCAGATCAACAGTAGGATCCTAAATTCAAAATAATTAACATTAACTTTGCCTTTTTTTAAAAATATATATATATATGTATGTATGTAACACCTGTTGTCCGTCCGGAGTGCATAAAATATTTAAAATTTCAAGAATCGCTTTTGTCGTGTCTATATCGGCTCGATCCTCGTTTAAGATATGTAAAAGAGCACCGAGGCCTTTTTCGCCCACTTCCTATTAGAATTACAGTGGCAATTAAAGAATTAATAATTTTAGCTATAAAATTTATAAGAGTACTCGAACCTACAAGTCGATATTCCCGCGAAAGTCCTTTCAAGCCCAGAATAGCAGCACGTCTGTCTTCGAGTAATGTAGAATTGCTTGCGCGATCACATAATTTTGAAATTGTAATCTCCACGGATTGAGGTTGCCCTTTTTCACCCAATAATCCTTTATATCCTCTGCTAAAAAATTCCATTTTTTTCGAGCAAATAAAACGAGAACGAGAAGAATACGAATGCTAAATATAAATTAGCAAGCTTTATGTACTATCCACGTATGTACAAATCTGATTAGCTTAATTCCGATTAGATTTTTCCAGATGCATACGATTGGTCGGACAAACACGTTAGTATTTTTGGCAGCATCTCAGTGGTTCAATCACAATGCTAATATAGTTTAGTTCAAAAATCGACTAAATATATAATTCAATCTATATATATATATATATATATATTAAATTAATTATTATTGACTGGACGAAATGAAAGCAATCCAAAATTTTAGGCTCAATAACCAAAATTGAACCTAAATTAGGTTCAATGTGGATACCTTTAAAATATACAGTAGTACGTAGCTGACTTTTAATAGAATTATTCCACGTTTCTATAAGACCGCAATGCCTATTATTTCCCCGGCAATTTCTCCAGTAATTCTCGTTACCTTCCCGGGTGCACTTTAAATTTTATTCAAGGTTTGAAAATAATTCTTTAGTCTGCATGGTAAATTTATTTTGGGTGAAGGTTTTTATAATCTCTTAGCGGTCGCAATGGCATTATTTAAACGAAGGTTCTAAATTCTATTAGTCACATGATAAAATATAATAGATATTTATGGCGAAGGTTCTCAGTAAATTCCAATTACTTGGATGCCAGAAGGGCGCCCCGTTACCTCTCCTATGCGGGAAATAAATATATAATAATACAAAATTTTTTATAAGTGTAAGGCTTAAGAATTAGGGCTCAGCCCACAAAACGTCGCCGTTTTTTAGTAATTATATATCTTAAAGCAATTTTTTGGATCCAATAAACGTTCTCATGTTGTCATAAAGCTTTTTTGCGTTCAATTTTATTAACTTACATTGTTTTTAAAATAAAATTATTTTCAGACTACATTTAAACTAATTATTTCATCATGTGCTTACAACTTGCTTACAACCGCAATACCATCAATCTCAACTTTGACGTCTTTTGGTAATCGAGCGACTTCTACAGTTGCGCGAGCCGGTTTATGATCCCCAAAGCACTAATCATGAAATAAGCATGTAAATTGAGAGAACTCATAAATTATTTACATATATAAAACGTAAATTTAAATAATTTACTTCAGCATAAACTTCGTTAATAGCACTAAAATCATTCATGTTTTTAATGTACACGGTGGTTTTAACCACTTGAGAAAGCGAAGAATTAGCTTCTTGCAATACATTTGAAAGATTTTTGATTACTTGTCGCTGCAATAAAACAAATATTTAAGAAATACGTGTATAAGGATTTTGTATTCAACCAATATATTTTTTTTCAGTGTACCGTTTGTTCTTTAACATCATCGCTAACGATTTGACTTGTTTCAGGTACGATAGGGATTTGACCAGATGCAAACACAAAACCATTTGCAACTATGGCTTGAGCTATTTTTTTTTTTTTACCAATTAAAAAAAATTTTTTTTATGGTCTAATGAATATGACAGCATCGTTATGACGAGACAAAACTCACAATAAGGGCCAATCGCACTAGGCGCGTTTGGAGTCGAAATAGGTTTGAGGGTACTCATTGATCGATAAGGCTTAAAATAGGATAACGATAAAAGGCGAAGACGAGAAAGCCACATCTCTGGGTCGAAAATAATAAAAAGCCTATTTAAAAGTAATTTGTGATACGTACGTACAATCCTGCAATTTTCAGATTTTCATATGCAATTTCCTTCAAAATTTTAGCATAAAACTCATTCATGTGACTTAACTGCTTTTTTTTTGCTAATTTACTTATTGCTATCTCGGCTTTTTAATAAAAAGCAGTGTTCAGTTATATATGATTGCTTTTTTATATAGATATCAAGAATACAATTTATCGTTATGCAATAGACCCTTATATACTGTATATGACCTACAAAATGAACCAATAAGAATGAATAAATAATCGTGAAAGACTGCTGTTAGATCCACTTATATGAACTAATACAAAACCATTTATGTTAGATAAATAGATTTACACAAAAGTCATGACAAACATACTAGAAGAATGGATTGAAAAAGCTGTTTATGATGGGCATATAAATTGTCGGGAATGATGCTGTTTCAATATGAAATTTTAAAAATTTTTTGAGCATTTTTCTAGATTTCTTTTTATTTATAGTTGAATTAGGATTTAGGGTTAGGGTTTAGAAAGTATAGGTGGAGTAGGATTTAAGAGATCTAAATAGGGTTCTTACCCGGATCGAATGACCCGTACGGGTTACTCGACCCGACGGGTCACGGGTCAAATTTTGGTCTACCCGGGTCAAACGGGTCAGAACCAATCCATATCAGAACATTATGGAATTTATGCCAGCCATCTTTCGATACACTTATCCACCAATCACAATCCACCTATGTGATTTTATCCTTTTTTTACGGGTAAATTATGCGTATATTATGCTTTCGCATAATCCTGAACACCCTAATCAGAATCTTGGCGGGTCAAAAATTGTTTCGACCCGGGTCAGTTACTTAGTTTTCCCGGTTTTTCCGATGTGGTAAATGAAAGAACTTAAATCACGAGCAAGGTGGAGAAATTTTTCTGAAATTAAATCCAAAAAGTTACGAAAGTTATTGGCCTTGGCATATATCGCTCATTGACCCGGGTTGTAATCCGGGTCAGAAAGGTTCAACCCGGGTTGTAATCCGGGTCAGAAAGGTTCAACCCGGGTTTGACCCGGGTCGCTATTTTTCGACCCGGGTAAGATCCCTACGATCACCTCACTATAATGAGAGCGACTTGTATTTGAATTCTAAGGGTCGGTAGACATTGAATTTACCAGGTAATTTTCGGGAATTACATCACACAATAAAATTTGAAGTATCCTAAATTAAACACCTTATAAAAAAAAAGGTTACAGTACGCCAATAACAAAAATTTTTTTAATTATAATGCTAAACAGCTTTTTTAACCAACCAGCCTATATAGACGACGTGGGTCAAAATAGTTAAATATATATTTACGTATATGTAAACCTTTAAAATTATTAAAAATATACAAAGATAATATAGGATTTAATCTTGATAATTTTTTTGAATCCAGTATCTCTAATTGCTTTTTTTTTTAAGCGTTTAGATTAATGATGAGTAATGATTTATACCTTTAAACGATTAACTCAATAATCTAAATACCAACATAAAATAAGTAATACTGTAAGTTTAATATAGTACTTACCAAGGGGAGCTTCAACAGAATCGACAGGTTTACTTTGTAAAGTTGCTAATATAGCATAATTGGTTTTAAATGAATAAATAATCAAATATGGTAAATAATATATACATAATTTTTAGAATAAATACCCTTAATTGCACTTGATATTCTTTGAGTATTTATCATTTTGCTAGTATACATAGTATCCGGATGTTTTAGTGAGATAATTGGCAATGTTTTGATTATTTGATCAGCGTCTGAAAATTGCTTTTTAATTTCATTTGTATTATTTGTATTGCCTGGATAATGCATAAATTTACTCCATTCATTAAGCTTTTTCCGAACATCAAAAGCACTAGGCCGTTTTTTTGGATTTGAATCCATGCATTGCTTGGCTAATTCAGTATAGCAATCTGGAGTTCCAGGAGCAAATTCAGGTCGCAATCCTCTGCATATATCTAATGAAAGACTAAAATCAAATGGGCGACCATCAAAAGGTCTTTGTCCAGTTGACATCTCTGACATAATAACTCCGAAGCCATAAATATCTG